GAAGAAGAACCTCAGCTTAGCCTGTTAGCTTTAGCGCTGACGCTATATTGCCTTATATGCATTAACTCGACACTAGCGCGACAAACAAGCTAAACTGAGGTCCTCCATCCATATTTTCAGTTACAGGCTGTCATTTCTACCTTCTCCTCTCTGTCAACGCTCTCTGGTTTCATTTAAAAGAGCCAATCTGGATATAGCTTGCTTACACAGATGACCTATCCACATCATCATTTACCCAGAATGCTTTGCGTGTAAACAAAATGGCCCCGTCCGTGTAATATATTTTAAACTTTTAGTTTAAAAATGATAAAAACTAAACAGCCTACAGTATTTTTACAGTCTTTATTTTACAGTTAAAATATATGTTTATCAAATTAAGTCTAATGTTACAACTAATCGGGGATCCCTTTAATAGTTAACATTAGACTGGATATTTTCCAAAGTGATATTGAATACTATTTTACCGGCCTGTCCAGGAGAAAATGCAATCAGCTCTGAGCTCGTTGCAAGAGAAAAGGGATTCCTTTGAAAGAATGCGGAAAAATTACGAGGACACAGTGGAACACCTTCAGGTGAAGTTTCTTTCTTTCTTTTTTTTTTTTTTTTTGGTTCCCCCATATACATTTCAAATCATGGCTAACATCTTCAAACCGGATTTAGGTCCAGGCCCAGTTTGTGGAACGGCGAACCCGGGAGGAGTTTGAAAAAATCCGCAACTTTCTTAACGTGGAAGAAGAGTCCAGGATGGAGGCGCTGAGGAGGGAGGCGGAGCGGAAGACCGGAGAGATGAGGCAAAGGATTGAAGAAATAGAGACAAATATATCCTCAGTGTCTGAAAGCATCCGAGTTTTGGAAGAGGAGATGGCTTTGGAGGACATCTCAGTACTTCATGTATGTTCAATCATCTTAAAAATGTATATATACTATATATATATATTTGGGACTTTGATAAAATTTTCAAACTTATTTTAGAGCTGTTTTTCCTTTTTTTTCACTCATAAGGCTCTGTGTAAAGATTCCAAAACTATTTTTTTTTAAATCGGACCACCCATTAAGGATTTAAAGGGGACCTATTATGCAAAATTCACTTTTTAAAGGCTTTTTTTTTTTTACTCAACTTTGGGTATATACTTCTTAAAAAAAACAGTCCTAGGACCAAAATAAATGCACCTAGGGGCATATTTACTGTAAGTAAATGTATTTTTAATGTATATTAATGACAAGTTTTATACTTCCGTCATTTTGTGACGTCACAAGCCGTACGACAACCCACCTGAACCTGCGTTCAGCCCCTTACCTAGCAACCCCTGGCTGAAGCTCCACCTCCTCAGAATAAAAAGCCGTCACGGTTGTTGTTGGGCAACGCGCAGCTCATTTCACAACAAGCCTCCAATAGGGCAGTGGGTAGAGTGTTGGACCAGAGAGCGGGAGACCAGGGTTAGACACTGGCATGGACACTATTTAATTATTTATTTTAATTCGTTATGAACACGTTTTCTCATGTACCTCTATTGTTTAGCTTATTAAAGCCTTGTTAAAGCCTATTTGTTAGAGTTTCTGAGGTATTTTGGCCACAGCTGCTCCCTGCTCTGGTATGCATGCAGAGTGAGCGCAGAGCAGAGGAGGGAGAGAAAAAAAATAAGCTGGGACCGACTCTGCCTCTGGGTCTCATATGG